TAAAAAATAACCCTGTTTTTGCTCTAACATGAGTCATTTGAGTTCACTCTTCCCAGGTTTTTCATACTCTTCATATAATGATTTCAAATGAATGTATTTATAGAGCTGGCAAGACAGCTTAGTTAGTAAGATCTATGACTTAGAAACTCAAGGACTTGAGCTAAATCCATACAACGCAGTAAAGAAAATAAATAAAACCTAGGTATTGTGGCATGGACTGGTAATCTGAATGCTTAGGTAGAAAAGATGAGTGGATCCCTGGGATTCACTGACCAGGTGAGATTAAAAATGGAAACTTTTCATCCTTTGCATTATAGTAAGGATGCAAATTATCTCAATGTCTTTGAAATTTTCTTCGTTTTGTTATTGGAGATCTTGTTCAGAATTGTATTCTAGAACACATGTTGTTAGAAGACCCATCCACATAATATGTATTTCTTGGGCTAAAGAAATAGTTGAGAGGGTAAACTGAGTACCTTGCAACAATGAAGATTGGAGTTCAGTCTCCAAAGTCAATAGAAAAACATAGGCTTGGTAGTATAATTGTAAACCCAGCAGAGCACTGAGGAGATAGAGATGGAAAGATCCCGTGGGCTTATTGGCCAGCAAGCCTAGGCACATCAGCAAGTTCAAGTGCAATGAGTGACTTCATCACAAGAAAAACTGTGGAGAAAGTTTGATAAAGATAACCAAAGGCCAGTCTATGGCCTATGTGCACATATGAGTATATGTCTGCCTACACATGAACATGAACACACACATAGCAAATTAATAAACTGAAATTAATTACATTATCTGAATGGATGAGTTCTATTTTATCTTCGATTATACAATTTAGCTATTTGGACATAATTAATAGAATCTTACATGTTAATCAGATTAGATAAACTTATATTATACACCCTTCTTATCACTACTTCAAGCTATTTTAAAATGCTATAACATGCAACATGGTAAGAATATTTTTAAATACCAGGCAGCTGATAGTTCATTTAGGCTAATTAATTAAATAATTCTTTATCTTGATCATGACTCCATGGAAGACAAAAACAAGCCAGAGTCAATGACTGACTAACATAGGGTTTCTCAAGTTGGAACCAATCATGCTTTAGATTCCCAACAGAGACAGTCTAAAACTCATTGTCAAAAGGCATCAATTCCTTGTGTAGCTTCTTGGCCCTAATTTTCCCCTTGTGCCCATTACTTATCCTAAGAGCTCATCCTCAGTAAGTCAATGATGCAGGAATTCCAGTGTTCCTTAAGAGCTGACCTCAAATAAGTGATACTAGAGAGGCTCAGAGGAAGCCAACTCTTTAGATATGAATCTCAAGTTCCATAACTCCTCAATCAAATGTCAGTGATAATATCTACTGGATAGTAGGGTTGATAATATCTATCATTTTATAGTATTGATACTTGTCATGATCTCTGTATAATCTTCATCCATTATACAAGATGAGCTAAGACAGGGCATAAGTACAAGGAAATTGACAAGCTATTGCAATGACAGAAAGTTGTAAGCCCTATTGCCAAGGGCCATGTTTTGCTGAGAGAATGTAAGATGCTCAGATTGCTTATTGTTTAAAAAAATTACCTTTAATTTTATATTCCAACCTCAGTTCTCCCTTCCTCCCCTTCTCCTGCACCCTGCTTCCCCCTCAAACCCCATCCATTCTTCAGAGGAAGTAAGGCCTTCCCTGGGGAATCAATAAAGTCTAGCATACCAAGTTGAGACAGGACCAAGCTCCTCCCCCATGTATCAAGGCTGAGCACGGTATCCCACCATAGAGAACGGGCTCCAAAAAGTCACCTCATGTACTTGGGGATAGGTCCTGGTGCCACTGCCCACACCCCCTCTTCAACAGATCAAACCACATTCAGAGGGCCTAGTTCATTCCCTTGCAGGTTCCCCAGATAGTCCATGAGCTGAGCTTCCACTAGATCAGGTGAGTTATCTCTGTGGTTTTCCCTATCATGCTCCTGACCCCTCCTTTTTCATATGATCCCTCATCCTCTCTTCAAATGAACTCCACAGGCTCAGCTCAATACTGGGCCATGGGTCACTGCACCAGCTCCATCAGTCACTGTATGTAGGTTTTATGATAACAATTAGGGTAGTCACTAATCTAATTAAAGGGAAAGGCCCATTCAGACACCCTCTCCACTATTGCTAGTTGCCTTAGCTGGGGGCATCCTTGTGGATTCCTGAGAACTTCTCCAGTGCCAGGTTTCTCCCTAACCCCATAATGGCTGCCTCTATCAAGATAAAATGCTTTTTTAATCATGAATCTGAAAGACTTCTTGGTAGCATTAAAAATATCTAGGCATCAATTCCTGCTGAAGGGAAGTTTAAGCTGGAGTTGAGACACACATTTTAATCATAAAAGTGAAAGATGTTCTAAGAAAGCTTAGATCTTGCTCTAGATCTCAGTAACAATCCAGAATAATTTCTCTTATAAGCAAAATATAAGGATTCCTGTGATGTTGGATGGGCATATTCTCCTGATCTTTGAATAAAACAGACTTCTGTCTTCAAACAAAGTAGAGTTTGTACTTTTACACTCACACAGTCTAAAAAATTGCAGGAGTTCAAGTATTCCAGGCCACCAATCTTCTTTTAAGTAATCAATATGGTCCTGAAAACACAGATAAGCATGATGGATGAAAGAAAAGCATTATAAACTGATCCAAGACTGACTCCAACTATTACTGACAGGTATTTCAGTTGCAATAATTCTTAATAGGATGGACATGAAAGTAATGTTCCAAATGGGAGAAGCAGGAGAATTTGAATTGCCCAAGCAAAGACTGTAGAGGATACTATGATAGTAGGCACTATTGCTAAACCCCACCCAGAGAAGTGCTGTGATTTTTGCCAGAAGCTGTACCACTTTCTAGAGAACTGTCCTTATCCAAAAGTCCCTCTGCTTGTAAGTTACTCAATCAGAAACATCAGTGACTCAGAGGCTACAATAGATGACCAGCTTGGTAATGTTATGTGATTTGTAATCCCAAATCCATGCTCCTGAAAGTGCAGGCTAAAGATTCCAGCTGAACACTGTACCCTAGGGTTTTCCCACCTCTACTCTGTCTCCCTGCCCTGTCCCTCCCTGCCCATCTTCCAAATGAGTTCCCTTTTAAAAACCCTCATCTTTGAATCCACTTGTGTGAAACCAACCTATTTTGATGATCATAGTATTCCCAGATTTCCCAGGGATAAATTCTCTTAGAGCCGTTTTCTTTATACACTGGTTCAGTGTACCATATATATTTGTATTAATGAACAATATGCAACATTATTTAATATTTATGAAAGTTCCAAAAATTGTATTATTTTCTTTGGATCTCTTTAATGTTTTTCTCTCAAAAAATATGTGTGTGCATGTGCGTGTATATCCCTAATTTATTCATTTCACTCTTATATGTCACTTGATTTATTATGTTGAGTTATTCAAGTTTTTTTGCTATGTTTCTAACAGGAAAAATGGTATAGCTATGAGCAGCCTTGTGGGTGAAAACGTTGTTTGGAAGTTTTAAATGTCTGACTTTTCTCAGGCACAAGATGCCTCTTGGCTTTCTTGCTGGAGTCTCAAAGGAGAATGTGAAAGTCATTCATATGTTCACAAGGAACTTGATGTGTCCACAATACTCTGCACTATCATTGGTACTGGCACTGTCTGGTAATGTTCGTTGGGACTTTAAGGGTTTAAAGATATCACTAAGTTACCCAGTTGCATCTTTCTAACTACTTAAGTAATTTTAAAAATGGTTGGAGATATACCTCAGTAGTCAGAGAAATATTTGAGATGTTTAAGGCCCAGGGTTGCATATAACAAACACACACAAAACAAAATTATGTTTGTATGAATATGTTTGTTTGTAAATTTTTATAAAATGTGTTCTTTGTAAAATAGTAATTCTTGTCAGTTCTAAATATCAATCACATTACCTTTGAATGTACCAAAAATTCAAAATTTAGTTCAATTGAACTTATCAACCTATTCTTAAAGTTTTAATTTTTAATGTATTTAGAAACAATTTCTGGGCACTAAAGTCATGAAGAATTTTTCTTCCAGATTTAGAATTCTGACTTCCAAAGGTCTACCTTTAAGCTCACCAGCCCCTGTTCCAACATCATTTGTTGAATTTCCTTTTTATTCATCCTAAGAAGTAGTACCAGCCCTTTCACGAACGAACTTTGGGGCCTATACAATGGTTTTCTACTTTATTCCATTGGTGGTCTATGTCTACGGGTGAGTTCTTAGTCTTGATTTTCATAGCTTTAATTATTCTTAAGATCAAGTAGGATAGTTCTGACTATTTATTAATTTGTTCTTTTAGCATTTGGGGCCATGTTTGGCCCTTGTAAACATCTTAAAAAGATTTGGGGGCTTTTTTAAATGAATATAATATTTAGTGAACTGGTATCTTTATGCTGCAGGTTTTTAATTTCCCTACATGGCACATAGGAACCTGAACATATGTGTGCATTTCTAATGAATTTTTCTCTATACTAATTCATACTGTATTCCATAGCTATATTGCTTCATTCTTTTATTATAGCCAATACTTTTTGAATATCATAAGGCAACATTTCCTTTGTCAGTGCTGGCAATTCAAGTGAACTAGCCTTGCACATATCAGTCAAGTGTACTACTACAGAGCTGTACACCCAGGAAATGTTTTTACTGTTTGTTTTGAAACTGAATTGTACTGACATAGTTCAGGCTGGCCTTGAACCTCTGATGGTCATGCTTCAGCCTCCTGGTGGATAGAATTAAAAGCCTACTCTACTGGGCCTAGACTTCAGCATTTGTTTCAAAGTTTTAATGTATTCTGGTTAGATTTTCTGCATTCTCTTCTCCCACTCAGTCTTCCTTTCCCCAGAAGCATCTAATGTTATGGAATTTTTAATGACATTTCATCAATATTTCATGCCTATATTGGAAAGTTCACCTACTTCTTTCCTATAGCAGTCAGGGATGTGGTTACAAAAATAATGCATATGAACTGTATTTATTTTCTTTTAAACAAGATAAATAATCAAGCAGTAAGAACCATCCATTGCCCTGCTGTCGACCTCCAACCATATGTCCCCTTCATCCACTCAATGGCCCTGTGGGGTTCTGATCTTTAGCAGCTCCTATAAGAAAATCCACACGATGTTTAATTTGTCTCACCCAAGTTCAAAGTCACAGCATAATATTGCTTTGCTTGACAAGTTCATCGATTTTCTTTTCCCCTGCAAACATGTCAAGCTTTTCTTCAGTGATATCTCTTGTCTTCCTTGTAGTGGAGTACATGTTCTGAGCATGCCCAGATCCATAGTGTGATTGTTTCATGAACACTGTCTGCTCTGGGAATCACCCAGCAGTGGCTGTGCGCTGGCATGGGAGCAGGAATGCCTCCCCATGCTGTCAGGTCACCAGTTGTACAGCTTTAAATCCCTACGTTCTCCACTTTGTTTCTGAAAGCAGTATTTTACATTTTTCTTCTTTCTTGTTGCTGTTTATCCTTTTGGAGGTAATGAGCAGGGCTGGTGACTATTAGCACCTCATTTTTTTTGCTGTTTTCCTTTTTCTAAGTAGATGTTCATACTATTTATCAGCTTACATCTCTTTGTGCTGTTATCCTGTGCCACAACTGATCAATATTCTTTAAAATTTAAAATTCCTTAAGATGAGATATTGGGTATTTTAGTAATTGCCCCTGTTTCAAAGGAAATGAACATAGTATTTATTAATATTTGGCACATAAAACTAACATTTCTAGGCCATACATTCCCACTATTAACATACATTTCATTTTAAATAAAAATATCTAGTTTTAACAAATGCTGTTGCACATTGGTTGAAATTATTATATGACTTTTCTTATTTGCCTAATTAACAATATTAAAAACATTAATCAGTTTTATGACAACATTCTCAGGTGGCAGGTGGAATGGCTCAGTAAGAGCAATTGCTGCATTTTTGGAGAACCCAGTTTGGTCCTCAGCACCCATAAGCTTCCGGCTCCCTGAAACTCTACTTCCGGGATATGTGGCATCCTCTCCTAACTGTTGAGAGCACGCTCACGCATATGTTCATATGTACACATGCACACACTCATGCACATAAACAAAATCAAACATAATAAAATAATAAAGAATCTTAGACTTCCTGATGGAACCTCCATTTTCACAATATGTTTTAATATGTTGCTAATTTCATTTGGTTACTTACATATTTAAGTTTTTGCATCAAGTTCATTGATAAAAGATAGACAATTGTGGGTCTTTTAATGTTTGGAAGAACTCAGACATAAAACTTTCCAGACTAGGTAGTCTTTTGCAAGAGGAAAACTTGAGTGCCTATTTCAGTTTCTTTATTGCTTATTGATCCGTTCGAGTTCTTTTTTCTCATTCTCAGAGAGAAAAGTAACTTACCCAATTTTCTGTAGCCATTTACTGACAGAGAAGAAAGAAAATTTAGCTTGGGTCTCCTTGGTTCCATTGCTTCTATGCTTAGCCGCTATGATAAGTACTGTGTAGTCATTTCTTGTTTTAGAAGATACCCCTCTAAATTTTAGTATGGGGAAACACGTAAATGGACAAAATAGTGAAAATCATGCATTTAGAAGACAGCTCTGCTCTTTAGCTTTTAGACTGAAGGCAGACATGATGAAAGAAGAAAAACATTACATTACCCCAGGCATAACTTGAGTAGTATTGAGTGCTTTGTTGTGGGTTGGAAAGTAAAGAAAAGAGAATGGGAGACAGACAAAACAATAGATTGTAGAGTTGCAGGGAGTCTATATAAACAATGCTCCTGAAATCTGTGATGTTGAGATTACATAGCATCTTTAGCAGAGAACAAAACACAGCATGAAAAAAAGAATGAAAAAAGATTTGAGGAAGACAGACATGGCTACTCTCCTGCAGGATGAGGGGCTCTTCATTGTCCTTGTGTTTCTGGTCCTATGGAGGGAAGGTGAAATTCGCAGTGAGCATTCCAGTCTCCTCTCCCCTGTCATCACTCCCCCACCATTCATGCCAGACAAAGGACTGATGGAGGCTTATGGAGACATTGGCATGGACATCGTCTTCCTTCCTTCCTTCCTTCCTTCCTTCCTTCCTTCCTCCCTTCCTTCCTTCCTTCCTTCCTTTCTTCTGGGGTACTCTGCTCTGTCTCACCTATTAGCCTTGATCTTAGATCAAATGTGTCCTCCCCTCAGTGAAGCCTCTGACCCTCACTGCTCTGGGATGGAAAGGAAGGTTACATCTGGCTTCCCAGACTAAAGTTACCATGTGCATTATTTGAATATTCCTTCAGAACTCAGGAACCACAAAGGTCCTATTTTTCTTATTTCCTCAAACACTCCAAAATGCATAAACACTCAAAAGTCAAAAATGAGTGAACACTATAGATTTAAGATGAATGCTTGGTTAATCCATTTAAAGCACAGATAACAATTTCTTGAAGCTGCCACATAAAAGTGCAGGCTAAAATTCTTGAAACCCATCGTGCTTGGAAATGGAGCTTTGAGAACTCCTTGTAGAGGAAGAGAGACAGATAGTGTACTTCCTGGACTTCAGACACCAAAGAGAAAGCAGTTTCAAAGAAGCAAGCGGCTCTTGTCATTTTCATGTGCTCCTTAGCATTTGCTGTGAAAAAAGCAAGATGCAAACACTTCCCTTCAAAAGTTGTGTTTCTGGCTTTGCAGAAACGAGAGCTTGGGTTGTTTTTCCAGGATTTCAGTGGGCAGGCTAAAATGCCCTGTTGTTAATTTTCTGGGGAATTCGCTGTTCTAACATAGAACACAGACTCTATTCCTTGATACAACTTGCATCTAAAAATAAACAAAACATATGGAAAAGAATTATGATGCATATGCTGACATGAGTAAGAATTGATGAGTTACCAGTTGTTCAGAAATCGTCATACAACACATTGTCTGAACTTGAGAAGGAATTTCAAATTTCAGTTCTTGACTCCCTCAAGGCCAAAACACAAGGAAATAAACAGAGCTCTGTTGTTTCCTCCTCGCAATTCTTTAAGTTTGCTGTGTGTCTTCTGTTTTTTTTTCTACCCCTCTTTCTCATTACTTTTCCTTTCAGCCTGTATGCTATGTCAAATACTTTCATTGTAATCAGGTAGAAAGGGAAGACATGCTAACACAGATTATGATTTGCTTTACCTTGTTTTTACTTCCTGACTTATCTTCATTTGAAAGTTCTAAGTTGTAATAAATTCATTCTAACTTTTAAAAAATTCAGAGTTCAGTATCAATGCAGGATAAAATTGGTTGGTATTTCAGCATTGCCTCTACTTGAAGTAGAAATTCCCACTGCTATTAACCTATATTCAGTTTTGCAGACATCGATCCTCAAATGACACAGAAATGCACTGTCATTGTCTTGAGACATTTTTTCTCTGAAGAAACAGAAAAGGATTGCTCCACATTTCACACATTGTATTACAAATATTTACTGTCAGGAAGAAAATAAACTGGACAGTCAGCAAGTACATGGATAAAATCTCTGGCCCACCTGCTAGCACACAGCAGTCTAAACTAAAGTCCTCCACCCAAACTGTTTTTCCTTTTCTGTAGTGTACCAAGAAGCTGCACCATGCTTGCTGACAATTGAAAGAATTAAGCAGAAAGTTGTTCTTAATGGTGTCCTTGGCAGAAGCCATTTCTGAAGTGGACCTAAAAGGACATTCACACCTTCTGCCCATCCCTGAAAATGGTGATCTCTAGTCTCCATAATTTCAATAAAATTACAAACAAAGACTCCTGAGGGTTTGCATTCATATCCATGAACAAATGCCTTTTTCCTAACTTTTTATCCCAAAATAAGTACAACGTTTCATCTTTACCATTTAAATCGCGGTCTTTGGCTTGGACCTACTTAAAGATAGTACAAATGGCCACAAAAGCCACTTCAGCTGCTGAAATTGACACTGCCTTGATAAATATAGAGGACAGGAAGGAAAGGACAACTCCTGCAGTAGTTTCCAGCTTAATTAAACGAGATTTGCTTTTTTTTCTTTCTTTTTTTATTTTTTTTCTTTTTTTTCAATTTTTTTTATTTTAAATAGCTTGTTTTACATGTCAATCCCAGTTCCCTCTCCCTCCCCTCCTCCCCCACTCCCCTTTCCCCCCACCCTCCCACCCTATTGCCAAATCCTTCCACATAGGGGATATCAGAGTCTGTCATTTTACTCTGGGTAGGGTCCAGGCACTCCCCTAAGAGTCCAGGCTGAGAGAGCATCCCTCTTTGTGCTATAGGCACACGAAGACTGTTTGTATATCAGGGATAGACACTGATCCACAGCTCAGGGCCCCATAGGTTTCCCATGCCTTCTCGCTGACACTCACATTTGGGGGGTCCAGATCAGTCCCATACTGGCCTCCTCACTGTCAGTCTGGGATCCAAGAGCTCTCCCCTGTTCAGATCACCTGTCTCTGCTGGTTTTGCCAGCATGGGACTGATCCAGACCCCCTGAGTGTGAGAGTCAGTGAGGAGGCCTGGGCTACCTATGGGGCCCTAGGCAGTAGATCAGTGTTTATCTCTGGCATACAAATAGACTTCAGCCTGGACTCTTAGGGGAGTGCCTGGACCCTGCCCTGAGTGAAATGACAGACTCTAGATATCCCCTATGTGGAAGGAAGTGGGGATAGGGTGGGAGGCTGGAGGGGATGGTGGGGGTGTGGGAGGAGGGGAGGGAGAGGGAACTAGGATTGACATGTGAAGCAAGCTATTTAAAATTAAAGTAATAAAAAATAAATAAATTAGAAAACAGGATTAAAATACCAGAAATGACATGGACATAAATGTATGATAGGACATAGTAACATGAGAATTTTTTAAATTTAAACTGTCAATTGACATAGTAGATAGATAAAAAAAAACTGTGCAAAGAAAATTAAAGACGGAGAGAAAGGGTCTACTACCCTGGTCACCAAATTCCAGGAAATGGGGACAGAGAGTTATATAAATAAACATCTTACCAGGTGAGGGAAATTAAATTTTTGCATAAAAGTTTTACAAGAGATTAAATGTTGAGAGGACTTGTGGAATTATGGCCTTTGTCAGGGTAGCTACCTTTGACAAAATAAAGCAAATATTTCTTACAGTTGTGTTCTTAAGTCTAATCCATATATGGGAGAGACCAAATTCATGGATATTTCACTATTAAATTTCTGAATCCAAAGACACGTGAGAACTTGGATCATGCAGGCCTCCATAGCCCATCATCGGACACTCAAGGTTTTTCTTTGCTTCTGTATTGGGGCTCCATCCAGTTCACTCACCATGGTCACCCTTGAGAACCTGTTTTTAAGTGAATTTTTTCTCCTGTGTGTACTCAAAAGATAACAAGTGTTACACAGTGTATTTGGATGCTTTAGGCTTGTTATATAGCTCAGTATTATTATTTATTTACTCAAAATCTTTCAAAAAGTCGATTTGTTTGGACTGCTTCTTTTGCTGAATTCATATTGATACCATTTATTCACTTACTTCTCTAATAAAAGTTATTGTACATCACTTCTAGGAGTTCTACACCTACAAATAATGTGACATTGAAGATATTTAATCTTGACTTCGGTTTGTGATATTTCATTGTTAATTCAGAAGTGCTGTTACACCAAACTTGCCATCTCTTAATTAATACGTAGCCTTAGGCACTAATGGTTTCTTCCCTGTGCTCCTGTCCTGCAGTGAATGACTTTCCTACATACCAAGAGCATGGCTGTTATTTCAAAGTCCTTCGGACTTTTTCCAGATCACCTGGTGTGAAATGATATCTTACTCTTATGATTTTCATTTTTCGAACACAGGCCAAGTTGAATAAACAATTTGCATTTTTATGAACAATCCTAATGTGCTTCTCTGGAGCTACTTATTCTTCTTATTTTGGTAAAAGAAACACCATTTTATTTTTTCCTATTGTTTATGTGTAAACCTCCCCACCATCCCTTGCTCTCTTGTATTTTCTTTCCCAGATTCATCATCAGTTTCAACAGTTTATCCCCTCATAAATATTTACATATGCCCCTTTGTTCCTAAATAGCTTCAGATTTCTTTGTGCCACTTAATGTTACAAAAGTATCTCTTAACCAGCAAATCCAACATATGTAAACACTGTTCCAAAACCCCAGTACCTTTAGAACCATGTATCTGAATGAAAGAACAACAAGAGATTTCAGGGATATGAGTTCCACATGCTGACCATGGAATCTGAAGTGTCAGATACTCCTATGTGCTCCTTCAGCAAGAGGAGATGCTAGCTAGGATATTGAGCTGTGCAGGAACTTTCATGCTATATGACTCATATAAATCCTCTATGACCAGGTTCTAAAAACAGCCCTGTTCTCATATACTACATGCAGATGTTTGGGAGTAAATAAGTGGTTTTAATTATGAACTAATCTGCACTTGAGATGAATATTATCCACTTTGTGCTAAATAGAGGAGAGTCCAAAACTCAATCACCGCTGCAGTCAGCAAAGATAATGACTAGTTAAGCATCAATCCAAAAAGAACTGTTTGTCGGATTTTAATACAAAGAAATACAGAAGTAGGAATTGATAGGGATACCAGCCAGCAGTAAGAGTTTTTGTTTACATTGCAAGCTAAGCTAATGAGCATAACAGTTTCCATCTTATATAAAGACAATTCAGAAAAAAGGGAAATTAAATGACTTATCTACCATCCTACCAGAGCTAAGTAGTAACAGAAGTTATTTTTCCTACAGATATTATAATAATTCTTTACATCATAAATCTTGTTTTTCAGACTGAAATTCACTGAAAAGAGTTACCATGAAGTCATTGTCATCATAAGAGGGTGGGATAAAACCTCGGACAAGTTTAAGAGTCTAAATACTCACGTTATCGTAACTCATGGAGCCAAACATGGGCATAATTGTTTCCCAAACCCACTATTCCATTGTATTTATACCACACTGTCCACCAGTGATGGCCTCCTAATTTCTCTTTTTTCTTAAAGAAAGAACTATTAATCAATCATGTTTGTGTTTAATCAAATCATAAATCTCAAGTATCTAATCTTGTAGACTGATTTCTCTTATAAGTTACAAGCTAGTCAGGTCAATAATAGGAATGAGTGGGAGGGGTTTTGTGTGGTATAAATTATTGCTGCTTTCAGTCGTTAAAAGACAAGAGCAAGAAAGAGAAGTAGAGCATTCAGTGTGGTAATCACCAGCATTCTAACCCCATCCCCATGCACAATGTCATCCATATGTAGCTGAAATCTTTTACTCTGCCTTTTTCCCAGACAGGGTTTCTCTGTGTAGCTTTGAAGTCTATACTGGCACTCGCTCCGTAGACCAGGCTGGCCTCAAACTCGCAGAGATCCACCTGCCTCTTCCTTCCGAGGGCTGTGATTAAAGGAGTGCTCCACCAACGCCTGGTGATGGGAGAAGTCTTTCTGTGTATATGTTCGTCTTATTGGTTGATAAATAAAGTGCTGTTGGCCAATAGGGAAGCAACATAGGTGGGACTAGGAGTTGAAGAGGATTCTGAGAAATGTAGTCAAAAGTAGAGAGATGCCATGTGATACCAGGAGAAGAGGACGCATGAGTCAGGCATTCCTGGTAAGATAAGACATTATAGAAATATATGTTTTAGTAGTTATGGGTTAATACTTAAGACTGAGCTAACCAATGAGAAACCCTGGACATTGGCCAACAGCATTGTAACTAATAGAGTCTCTCTGTGTTATTTGGGGCATCTGAAGTGGCAATGGGACCCAGACAGGAATCCCATAACAGCCTGGCTTTACTCTGTCTTAAAGAAACATTTGTCCCAGTTGATCCTACATTAATAATGC